GGGTTTGGAACGATATGGGGGTAAGTGATTAATGACAACATTTTCATTTTGGGGTGGTGTAACCCTTTAATGGTTTGTTATTTATTGATTGCTTATTTATTTATTTATTTAGCAGTTTCCCAACACCTGAAAAATATATATATTTTTTTTGTCTAGTTTCCCAGTGAAAATATCTAAATATCCATTTTCTCTGAAAAAATTTTTAATAATTAAGTATTTTTAATTTTTTTGCTAAATATTGTTGTTTTTTATGAAAACAAATTTTAATTAATTTACTTGAAGCAAAATTGAGTTCTTAAGACCCTTTCAAGGTCTCAAGGTTTCAAAGTGTATTATTATTTATATGTTTACCTTTTACATTTACATTTAGTCATTTAGCAGACACTTTTATCCAAAGCGACAATAGAAGCAATCAAAACCGACAAAAGAGCAGTAATATGTAAGTGCTATGACAAGTATATATTTATTTTTTGCAGAAGCCCAACACTTGGAGAACAAAGTAATTTTGTTATTCTTAATATCTTTACCCCCCGTTTGTTCCCAGTAAAATATCTAAATATACATATTATCTGAAAACAAACCTTAATAAATTAGTTGGAAGCAAAATGTAGATATTGAGTCTTTTCAGAGAGCGCGTCTTCTTCTCATCCAGTTAGTACATTTTATTTAAGAATAAAATTAACAAAATTGGGATTTTTTTTCCCTTTTAAACAAGGGAGAAAATGCATATCATATGAAAGCAATATTATAGATATAATATAAAATAATGTTTCGCTTCTCGGTTTATTAATTCTCAATTTATTTGAAACAAAATTCAAGATATGAAGTCTTTTAGAGAACGTCTTCTAGAATCAAGTTTGTTTCTTATGCTATTGGCAAATCATTTTTTTTTTCTTGTTCAAAATTGACTGAATTTTTGTGCTATAAATGATGTAAATAAACAACTTAAAGATATATTAAGTCTAAAGATATATTTCATGCAAACAATAGTTTTACTTATGTAAATTTTATACGATTTGTTTTCAAAGCAATGTATGTGCGATTTTATTTAATTCAAGATATATTCAGATAATATAAATAAATATCTCCAGTAATATATCTTAATATCTTAAGCAGATATATGTTGTTTTAAGGATGTTTTGATATTTTTTTACAGGACAACATGACTTAAATACTGATTCAAAAAGCATGTTTTCAGTACATGTCAATCTCAATCCACAGCTTCACGGGAATTCACATGGAAACCAATTAGCTTAGAAATGAGCGTCTCAAAAAAGAAAAAACTGAACTCAAGGGGAATATGACGCGGATTTAACCTCTTTTCTTTCTCCCCCTCTGCCGTCTCCAGTTGAGGGAAGCCATGGTAACGATGGGCTGTTGCTGGGGCGACCGTTTGAAGAGCCTGACCAGCCAATCACAGAGAAGTCGCTGCTGGAGATTCTGGACGGGGTTGTGATGATGTACAATCTGAGCGTTCATCAGCAGCTCGGCAAGGTACGGCTCTGAGAGACCTGCGGGACACGGGCCTGGGGTCTGACCAATGCTCTGGCTTCATGACATTCGAAAGAGTTTGAGAGCGTCACACATCAGTCGCGTCTGAAGATGAAAACCTGTATTTGAGGTCTAGGGCTGAGAAATTGCTTCATTATATAGTGCACTTCATAATGCAATACATCTGTCCTAATTGGGCGAAACTCACTTGGGCAAAGAAAAAAGATTGGGCAAAAAAAAAAATCTAAAAATGTTTAGGTTATGTTTCACCTCATAATAAAAAAAAAAAAGGTATTTATTAATGCAATATATAAGATTATTACATTATTTTAGAATTTTTAAAATCTAACTCTGGCTTAATGCCAGAAATAGACCAATACTTGAATTTAATTTATTATTAGATCCACAGCATTATTATTATTATTGCATTATTATTATTAATAATAATCAATTAATTAATTGCACGATGTGCAAATAGCAGATATAAAAGCAAAAATAATCAGTGTATAGTAGTTATCTGACAAATATTTTAAAATAACTTGTTGTTCAAAACAAAACATCAAACACATTTATTTAATGTCATGAATATTACACCTATAAATTGTGTTTTGGCAAAAAATAAATAAACAAATAAATAAAATGAAAAAAAAAAAATAATAATAATAATACGTAATAAAATAAATACTCATTTTTAATGATAACGTTTCCACTACTTTTGTACTTATATACATATATATGTGTGTGTGTGTGTTTGTGTGTATTGTATTTGTTTATGCAATATATAAGAATATAACATTTTCAAGCGTTTTGAAGTGTTGTTTTCTGGCAAAAATTTCAGTAAAATGTACTTTTACAGTATTATCTTTATTTTATTTTAGTATACAATGTTATATTGTATTTTGTTAGCCGTACCCAATTTAATATGTAAATTAAATAATTGCAAATTTAAATAATTTAATGTATATATTATAATAAAGTCAAGTATAAAATAATGAGTCTCGAGTTCAGTATTTACACTAAATCTGCGCAGATTTGGCTTACATGAACTTCCTCAAGAAAATAATTAATAAACATAATTTATGAAAAGTAACCCGCCAAACTGGCTGGTGATTTGACAGTGTTCCCCGCCACAGCTGATTTTTACCCGCATTTGGCGGGTTGGCGGGTGTTAATTTCAAACCCTGTGTATATATATATATATATATATATATAAGTAAGGACTTTTTTCCCTTTTGATTTGAAAGTTAAATCAATTGGATATTTATTTGTAAGCGACAAAAAAATCCTCATCCTTCATTTTGCTCTTGAGCTCCTTCAAGTTCACTTGCATGGATTTTGCTAAAAAAGCTCCTCTTTGATTTAGAGAGGGTCTCGTGTGCCAGCTCATCTCGACCGACCCACTCCACTGATAAACGCTGTTTGTCGACGTGTCGTTGCTTTCAACAGTGAGTCACTGCTGGGTAAAACACAGACTCTGTCCTGCCAGCAGCCGTTTTAATGTTTCACTCTCACAACAGCGAGGAGAAAGGAGTCAAACAGAAAAACTGCGCCTCACTCAATGGTTGTGAAGTCTATATAATTTATGCTCTTTGTAGAGTGCTTCGCTCGGCAGAGTTCTGCAGCACATCAACCTTTGTCTCCCCGTGTGTGTCCTTACACTTGAAGAAAAGGGATTTCAATCACGGAGAGTGATTGCTCTCTGTAATAAAGAGATTCTTGCTTTTTCTCTGCCTCTCATTGCTGAATTCCTATGCATATCTAGCCTTTTTTTTGCTTTCTGTTGCAGTTTAGTTCATCCAAAAACGAAAGTCCTGTCATCATCTCCTCTTGTTCTGATCAAGTTTTGGCTGGTCCAGAAGAACATCTTTCTCCATTGATGGCCATTCAAAAGCAGCCATGAATTATACACAGTGGGATTCGAGTGTTATTGTAGAGGAAAGATTTCCTGTGAAAAATGACTAAAATATTGTATTTTTTTCACATAAACCTATAGTATAACTTCTGAAGACTTGGAAAAATAGTGCATAAGTCATATGCACTGGCTGCATTTATGGTGCTTTTTAAATCATTTTTTTGGAGCTTGACATCTCATTTTATTGTATGTCTCAATCTCTCCACTGAGAGTACTGTAAATGATGACACGGTTTTTCATTTTTAGGTGAACTTTTCCTTAAACATCGTCATCTGGAGTCCTTTGTTTTATTCATAAGGTTTTAATTAATCCTGCTGGCACTTTTGTTTTAGAAAATGATTGTGAAGAACCAATCAAATGCATTATTGAAATGGCTGAGAACTGACTGTCAGATTGTGAGCTGTGAGTAATTTATCAAACAAGCTGTCATTCATCAAAAGAAAAGTGTTACGTAACTATGGAAACGGTGCATCGTCTTGGCTCTATATTAATGGTATTACAACATCCCGCATGATGAAAATAATCTATTAGAGGAAAGGATAACAGTGTCATTGAGAAAGGAAAACAGTAGCATTCCAGCTCAATGTAACAGTCTAATTCCTGGAGATGGTGGGTGAATTTTTCAGTCATAAAAGGGATCTTATCTATGCACAATCAGCTTGTAACACTCCAAAGAGAAAGGAAAACTTGAAATCGCATCATATGACCCCTTTAAACATTTCAAAATAATCAGTCATTAAAAAAAAAAAAAATCAAAAGACACACACACACACACACACACACACAACCAAAATAAAATTAAAGAACTTAGAAAATCATGATTATGCTTAACTAAGTATTTTAGTTATCAAACACCTTTGATAGCTAAACATTCAAATACGTTTGATAATTAAACATGAAGATTTCAAAATAATGAGTCGTTAAAAAGAGCAAAAAACACCCACACACAAAACAAAACAAACAAACAAACAAACTAAATGGAACAGAGCAAATACAATTAATGAAAACCAAACCAAAGCATAAAAAGCAATACATAAATAAATAAATAAATAACAAAACAAAGAATAAAAAAGAATGAGACATAAACAGAACAAAGCATAAAAAACAGAACAAACCAAAAACAAACAAAACAACAACAACAAAACAAACAAACAAAAACAAACAAACAAAAAATAATGGATGAAAAAACCCCAAAATGAAATAGAACAAAGCATAAAAAAACAAAACAAAACAAATAATAAAAATAGAACTAGACATAAAAAAAAACAAAGCAAAGCATGAAAAAACATGATCAATTTCTATTTAATGCATAGTACTGTATATTATACCTATATATTGTCACATGCAGTTCTGGAGAAATAAAATTACTCCTAGGTAATTAATTTCCACACATGAGTGAATTGTAACACATTGTTGCATTGGTTGACAGATGGTTGCATTTTTAATATATGCTTTAATTCACATAATTTTAATCTCACACACAACAGTGAGGGTCTGACTGTTATTTTACGATTTAATAATACATAATGTTTCAGTTCCTAAAAATGCTACCAGTCAACTGGTGAGTAACACCAATTTATTTCTTTGTCAAAACTAAGATTTTTTCTCATCTGGCCCTTGTCCGAGTGTTCATTCTTGACCCTGTTAATTAGTCATTTAGCAAATCTTTTCCATCCAAAGCGATTTGCATGGTCAGTGTCCCAGGAGTAACCTCAGGTTAAGCATCATTCTCACCCCTTGTGGGATTTGAACCTGCAACCTGTTAGTCACCAGCCAAAATCTTTAACTGCTAGGCTGCAGCAGCAAGAAGAAGAAAAAAATCTGCATTGCTTTGCACTTCAGTTTTTAGAAGCACTTAATCCCAAGGTTTCTCAATGCCACTGCTGATGCGAATCACTGCACCAGTGGGGTTTGTGAGACACTTTTCTTTGTTTCTCTTTTAGAACAATATCCAGTTGTGAAAAGTCCTCTACAAGTCAAATTTAATTAAAATTGAAATGGATGGCATGGTAAGAGGAAGCAATTGTTGATATTGATGTGATCCTTCGATGACGAACCGTGGCTTTGGAAGCGAATTGAAAGTGGCTCAGTTCACGCTGTGATTTCTCTCCAGCGCTGTTGGATCCTGATGAGAAATACATTACACTGTAGTCCGTCAAGCAAAACCATCTGATTTGACTTAATTGGCTTGGCACAGTGGCGTCAGGAGACTTGTCTTTATTATTGATATGCAGAAGAATTCAGCCACAGCGTGAAGTGTCACCACCACACCTCGTCATTTCATCAAGCTGTAATGTACTTTTTTAAATTTCCTCCGAGTTTGAGAGAACTGCATGACCATAATCGCAATATAATCCAATACTCGTATTTTGGGAACAGCCTAAAGCGGTTTCTCAAATGAAAATGAGCTGCATACTGATTTATTTTCTTCATCCAAAGTGCGAAACATATTCTACAATTTTGTGAACTTAAAATCTTCAAGCTCAATTCATAACACAAATGCAAGTTGCATTCTCAGCATTGCCACAAGGAGTGCTATTGTTTAGCACATACTGACTTCTATCAGTTGTCTAAACAACAAAATCAGGTTTAGATCTAGATGCTGGATTTGACAACGTTTGTGGTATTACATCTTTAGTCAAGAATTTATTGAAGAATTGAGACTGAGGCTGATGTTATCCAGTAAATGGGATATTTAAGCACAATGACTTAAGATTGTCTGTGATTATTTGATTTTCATATCAGTCATACGACATTTTATTGTCAAACTGGCCATTTCTTGACTAGAATAAGCTGCAAAATGGACCAGACTTCATGCTTATAGTTAAAAACCTGGCACAGTGTGACTACATGAACAAAGAATAAAAAAATAACTTACTGCAACTATTAAAAACAAAGCTGAAATAACAGGAAAATATAAATATTAAACGGAAATCTAAAAATTTAATGAAAAACTGGAAAGAAATGCAACCTAGACAATCAAATAAAAATAATTATTTTAATGAAGTTGAACTACTTATGTTGCTAAAACTAAAACTTAAAAAAATCGAATGAAAGCTAAATAGAAAAATAAAAAAACTAATACAAATGACAAACATAAAATTAGTAACATTAAAGTAAAAATTTCAAAACGATAATAAATACTACAATAATATATAAATATTTCTAAAATAGCGCTGAAAGAAAAATAAACGCACATGCTTCTAGCTACACAAGTTCAATTTCATAAAAAAAGACGCAGTTCATAATCCAATACAGCTATGTGCATTCTTGCGATAAATCAAAGATTAATCTGTTTTAAAGATGTGATATTTATGTATTTATTTATTTGCTTGCTTGCTTGCAGAAATAGGAATCTCTAATACTAATGTTACTAAAATTGCTAACATTAAAATAAACATTTAAAATATAAAAGCGAATTCAAAACATTAATAAATACTACAATAGTATACAAATATTTCGAAAATAGCACTGAAAGAAACATAAACGCACACGATTCTAGCTACAAAAGCTCAGTTTCAGAAAAAAAAAGATGCAGTTCATAATCCAATACAGCTATGTGCATTCTCGCGATTGCCACAAGGGGCGCTAATGAGCATTTTCTGTTTTATGTAAACTGTTGTCAGCTACATAAGTTTTGAAGAAAATCTTGTTTAAAAAGTGAGACATTAAACATTCGAAGTGAACATTTGAACGGAACTCTATTGCCCCCTTGAGTATTAGAGATTATTTCCACTACAATAATGATTAAAACTGAAATGGGGCAAATCATTCATTATAACATAATTGTATATGTTTCTGGTGGTAAAGCAACCTGTTCGGCTGTATCAGGAGGGCTTGTGCTCTCTTCAGTACTGAAACCATGTCTCTGCTCACAGGACAAGGTTACTGTGGTGATAATTTTCCCTTACTTCCAAAATTGGTGGCTATTTTGAACTCCAGCAGAATGGCTAGCGATTATGTTGCCGCTCGAGAACAAGGGCAATTTTTGTACATGCTCTCAGTGAAACAGAGTCTGATGCTGTCTTTATATTTCTGTTTGCACGTTTTCTTCAGATGGTGGTTGTATCAGATGATGTTCACGAGTACGCCGTCGCCCTAAAAGACACAGACGAGAAGATCGCCCGATGCCCGAGCAGAGTAAGATCACTGTATTGAAGTGTTAAGTTGCATTTATATTCATAAAGTCTTAATTAAGAACACAGTTAAGCTCTGTATTTAATTAGTATTCATATGATTTTTTTTTTTTGTCAGAGACCGGATATTTTAGAAGAGTTGCAGAAGACCCAAAAAGTGTTTGCTGAAAAGCTGAACCACCTGAGTCGTAGGCTGGCCTGGATCAATGCCACCATCTACTCCAAGGTACTGTTGAAGACGCTGGCCAAAAACATAGGGTGAACCAACTGTCTCACTAATTTCAAGCAGTGTCATTTTTGTATCTGCAGCAAGGGATATAATTTTACGATGAGCCCAATGTGTGGTGGTCTGTAGACTTTTAGGGCTTTGCATTTACGATGTGCCCCATAAACTCCAGACATTTAAATTCAGCCTTGAAATGGCTTTTCAAAAGGGAATTTAGGAACAGGAAGTAGTATGTAAACTTGCAGTAAATGGCAATGCATTCATCACAGAACTCTCTGCAACTTAAATGGGGGTTGTATGATAACCATTTGTTCAATCATTAAGCTGCAAAAATTGCATATATATAAATCAATAAAATTATTCAATTTTAAAAGGGTAATATGATATTTATTTATTGTATTTACTAAGCAGCAAAAATTGCAGAAATATAAAACAATATTTATTTATTTATTTAGTAATAAGCTGCAGAATTTGTAGAACTATAAAGAAATATAAAGATAAAGATACTATTTATTTCTAAATATTTTTATACATATTTGTTTATTGATTGGTAATTTGATAATTTATTATTAGTATTTTCTAAAGAGGTAATGTTTGTTTGTTTATTTATTTATTATTTATTAAGCTGCAAAATTTACAGAAATATAAAACAATATATTAAATGAATCAATTTTAAAAGGGTCATATTTATTTATTTATTTACTTTCTAAGCTGCACAAATTGCAGACATATACAACAATAATTAAAACAATAGCAATTAATCAGTGTTAAATGTATTTAGAAATATAAATTAATATGTATTTATAAATATTTGTATTCATATTTATTTGTTTATTTATGGATTGATTAGGCTGAACACATTGCTTTTGGCAGAAATATAAAATAATAATGATTAGCCATTATTTATTATTCATTATTTATTTATTTGCTAAGCTGCAAAAAAATGCAGAAATGTAAAATAATAAAAGTATTATATGATATTTATTTATTTATTTTCTTCACTAAGATGCAATAATTGCAGAATATAAAACAATAATTAAAACAATAGCAATTAATTTTTTACAAATTTTCAAAAATGCATAAATAATAATAATAATAATAATAATAATAATAATCAGCAGCTTTAAAGTGGTCATTTATTTATTTATTTATGGGGGGGAAATCTGTATATAATATAAATGATAATAATTGACAATTTTTCAGAAATGGTTAATGACTATTTGGTATTCAGCAGCTTATAATAGACATGCTTTACAGGCAAAGAGGTTAGCCAGTCATAGCAGAAGTCATTTGTAAATAAAAGTCCCTAAATAGACAGAAGCAAGATTCAGAGGGGTGGAATTTTAATAGTATAAAACTAAAATCCGAAGTGCATTTCAAGGCGTTGCCTGCGATTTCTACATTCTCAGCAAAAGTTCAGATGGAAGCATGTGTATGTCCTGGTTTATTGAAATTATGTCTTTGAATGCAGGAGAAGATGCTGGATGTGTACTGGCTCCTGCAGGTGTGTATCCGCACCATCGAGCATGCGGACAGCACAGGCTCCCTGTTCACATTCATGCCCGAATTCTACCTCAACGTCGCCATGAACAGCTACAGCGCCCTCAAAAACTACTTCAGCCCCTCCAACTGCATGGAGGAGCTTCCAGGTCTCTCAGTTATTACTGGTCACAAGAGCTGCTAGTGTATGTGAACTTTGATCTTGAGCAGTTGTTTGTGTCGTGTGATGTTTGTCTCTCAGGTTACGAGGACACACTCGCTCAGCTTGCGGCCATTCTCGCCAAACACTTCGCTGATCCGCGCATCGTTGGCACCGGTAAGACCACTATAGCCCTTCATTTGCTTAGACTAATTCATAAACATAAATCTATAAATTCATAGACCTATCTATCTGTCCATCCATCAGTCCCACAGACTATTTATTTTTACATGTATTTGTCAATCCATCCATTTTTCCACCTTTCTGTCTGGCCATCTGCCCATCCATCCATCCATCCTTCTTTCCTTCCTTCCTTTCTTCCATCCATCCTTCCTTCCTTCCTTCCTTCCTTCCTTCCATCCACCCATCCATTCCAACGACATTCTATTTTTTCCATCCATCCATCCATCC